GATTGTTCATTCTCCCCTCTACTGGTGACACATTTCCTTGTAAATTAGTTAGAACAATTTGGCATTAGATCAAGATAACTTGTACTTGTTAAGTTTGAGTATTCTCATTACCTGATTGCTGGCTAATGTATGGTTATTAATGGATTACTACAGGTGTATTACTTGTGGGAGTTAAAGGGTTACAGGGTTATAAATTGAGACCAAATGGCAATAGGCATATTAGAAATGAGTTGGCTAATAGATTGAACTGTGTTTGTGAGCCCCCAAAATGTTCCAAGAAGTCCAAGAAATACAAGGGCACTAACAATGTAACGCCCAACCTGTTGGCGCTCTTGAAGCTGAGTGTGGAGTTGGTCTAAGGCTTGGTTGCATAAAGAGGTACCTTCTGAGGATAAAAAGTCATTTTCAGCTTTTGTAAGGGGATGGAGCAACTTAGGGGCTTTGAGAGATTTGGTATTGAGCCCTTTTAAACGGGCTTCTAACCAAGCACCATCTTTATTGAGAGTGAACAATGTATGCAATGTGTGTAAAACACCTGAAGCAAAAACAACCAGAATAAGGCTATTTAAAGGAATATTTGCAGAGAAGATATTTTTTAGAGGGCCCGCCAAAAATAGAGATATTGCTCCAATAAAGGCTAGGAGCAGAAAGATTCGAACAAGAGGTGTTGCTTGGCGCATATGTGAATTCCTTGTAGCGTAAGACATTGGGGCTCATTTTAACGAAAAGTCTATTAAATTGAAAGGACGCCTTTTACAAACGGAATTGTAAGGGCGCTTTTTCGAGCAAGTGCTTCTTGAATAAGGATTTCTGTGGTTTTGTGAATCTCTTTGTATTGGCGTTTGATGCGTACACTTAAGTAATCGAGAGTTGCACTTGGAATTTGGATTTGATGTTGGCTACAGTTCTTGACAAGGAGTCCGCGCACAAGATTATCATCAGGATTGAAAAGTTCTACTAGATGTGAAGCTTTAAGGCGGGATAATAGGTCTTTCAGTTGAATATCGTATAAGATTAAAGGCTGATCTATCGTGATGAGGAGCCTTCCTTGTTTGCGGTTTACCGTATTGTATAGGTGGAAAAGGGTTTCCTGCTGTGCTGGAGACAAAGGGTGTGGTAAAGGATCGATGGCAAGGTGGGTATTTTTTTTTCTGTTTAAATCTTCAAACATTTTTTCCGGTGCCTCTAAGCTAGAAACTTTATAGGCATCGACTTCTTCTGACCAAACGTGGGTGATGTGTGTTTTACCGCTGCCTTTTGCTCCTAGAAGAAGAGTAAAAGGCGTTTCCCAGTCCATCCAGGCTTTAAGATGTAAGAAGGCTTCTTCATTGCTTGGTGAAACAACAAACGTTTCCCAAAGGTAAGCATCTTCGATTGTGAGGGGCAGTGGGAGCTGGTTAGAAAGTTTTGGCATTATCCTTTCGCTCGGTAGAGGTTGCTTTTTTCATAAAAATTTAGGCTATGAGTGAGGATGACCTTTAAGACTGTGGCCCCAGGAAAGGCAAGAAGCAAACCTAAAAAGCCAAAAAGGCTCCCGCCTGCAAGTAAGGCGAACAACCCCCATGCAGGGTGCAGTCCAACTTTACGCCCCACCATGTGGACACTTAAAAAGAAACTTTCAATGAGCTGAATACTTGTAAACAGTCCCACAACCGCAAAAAATGCTCCCCAACCTTCGAATTGAATAATTGAAAGGCTCGCGCTGATGCCAAAACCGATGATAAATCCAACATAAGGAATAAAACTTAAAAGTCCTGTGAGTATGCCAATGATGATCGCATTATCTAGACCGATAATCCAAAGGCCTGTACTGTATAAAACCATCAAAACTAAAACCAAGAGACCTTGTCCTTTTAAGAAAACACCTAAAATATGGCTGATGTCTTGAATAAGAACGTCATAGGTCTTTAAGTTTCTTTTGGGAAAAAGAGAGCGCACTTTCTTTTTAATTTCTGTCCAGTCATTGATAAAATAGAAGCTGATCAGTGGTGTCAAAATGAGGAGCGTAATCAAGTTAACGACAGCAACCCCTTGCATTAGAAGATCTGCAAGAAAACGTGTGCTCCAAGAAAGGGCCGTTCCTAAGTGGCGGCTTGCTAGGGTTCTCAATTTGTCATCTAGGCTAAAGTTCCCTGGGATGCGTGTAGAAACATGAGCCACCCAGTTTAAAATGTTATCTGCATAGGCGG